TGGCTGCGATGACTGCGGCTTAACCGCCGTGGGCTGTGCGACTGTCCTTGCGTATGTTGCGCAATGCCGCCGCGATTTTCATTGCCCAAACACCATGATTGTTGGGGCGCGCGAAAGGGCGCATCGGCTGGCCATATCACTCAGTCTCGGCGATATCCGCGGCGAAAGACGCCTGGCGCTTCTGGAAGCGAAGCGACGCCGATGGCGCCCCCCGGCCCCCGCGGCGACCCCGACGTTGCGAAATTTGGCACGCGGCCCGCGGCGCGGATTCGGTTTGGGCTCCTGAAGCGCGGAGGTAGGGGGGGGGGGTCGCGGCGTCGGGCGCGCCTTCGGGCAGCGCAAAAAGCACCGCCCAAGGCGCAAAAAGCACCAATCAGGTTGCAAAAAGCACCGTTCAGGACGCCAAAGGCGCTGCCAAACCAGTTTTGCCAGATCCGATGACCCCCTTCGAAAGCGGGCGGCGCGCCGCCCCTGGACCGTTGAGCCACCCTGGCGCGCGCGGTCTCGTGGCCGACCCCCGGCTGCGAGGGGTCGGCCCCGCGGTCGCGGCCAAGCCATCGCGAGCCCGCGGTCAGGCATGCATTCTGGGCGCGCGAAAATTATTCGCGCGCCCAGATTCGCGCTGGCGCGCATCGCGCGCGCCAAAACAGATAGGAATAGCACGTCATCTGCATTTCCGTGATGGACTCATGCTGTGTTGTTTTGCGATTGCTGTTGAAAACCGAACTAAGAAACAAATGAACCAAGGCGATACTTGTTGCTACGATTCTTTCTGTCACGCAGACCTCCGTTACCGCATGGCTGCCAGCGGTGGTGCGTGAGTTGCGATATGAATTATGGTTGGTTTGTTGGAAACCAACGTTTTAATTAAATTGTTGGTGTTCTATGGTTTTGCGGGAATAGTGGCCTCCTCGCTTTTTCAGTCTTCCGACGCTCCAAGACGGCCGAAGATGCCCTCAAGACCGCCCCAGCACGGCCCAAGAGGCCATTGAGCGGGCCACCAAAACGGTTAGATGGCCCAAGAGAGCTCCAAGCCGGCCCAAGAAGCAGCCAATGCGGCCCCACACGGCCCCTAAACAAGCCCAAGAGGGAGTGGGAGAAGGGAGAAACAACATCTTAAATCTCTATCTCGTGGCCTCCAGACGCCAATGCGAGACCCCAAGACACCCCGTCCGCACCGAGAGGCCGCCAAGAGGCTCCCCAAGAAAACCCATGCAAGCCCATTGAAGCCCTCGCGCAGCACCCGAGAGGCCCCCAAATTGCCTCGCTGAGTCACCCGAGGGACCAGTCATGCGATGAAAGCCAGCGCCCACGAAGCCTTTGACCCATTATCCAAGCACGGCGGCGGCGATGGATGAGAGGGGGATGAGGGGGAGGGAGAAGGAGGAGGACGAATGAGAAGGAGGTGGGAGATCAGGATGAGGAGGACGAGGACGAGGATAAGGAGGGGGCGATGAGGAGGACGAGGACGACGAGGAGCAGGCAGGCAAGGATTGATGGCTGGGCGGCGGCGGAGGAGGGTGAGGAGTGAGGAGTGAGGAGGTGGGGAGGAGGAGGAGGTGGAGGGGGAGAAGGAGGAGGATAATGGAGAGGACGTGGGGGGCGAGGGGGGTGAGGATGGGGAGGAGAAGGAGGATGACGAGGTGGATGCCGACGAGAATGAGGGGAGGCGAAGGGGAACGAGGAGGAGGGGGGCGAGGTGGATGAGGAGGAAGAGGACGACGACGAGGAAGCGCAGGAACAGGGGGCCGCCGTTGCCTTCCATCGCCGAGGCAGGCGCGGCGGCGGCGATGGATGATGGGGGGCAGGAGAAGAAGGAAAGAGGAGGAAGGAGGGGGAGGAGGAAGAGGACGAGGAGGAGGAAGAGGAGGAGGAGGAGGAAGAGGAGGAAGAGGCGTTGGGGGAGGGGGGAGTCGGCAGGCACGGTTTGACTGTTGGGCCTCGAAGCAGGAGGGGGGAGGAGGGGGACGACAGGGGGAAGAGGAGGAGAAGGAGGAGACAGAGGAGAAGGAGGAGGAGGAGGAGGAGGAGACTGAGGAGGTGGAGAACGAGGAGGATGAGGATGAGGCTCGGATGCTAGGTTCTCTCGTGCGTTTGCGGGCCGCCCTGGGGCCCTAGGTGCTTCTTGGCGCGCGTGCGTCTGCGGGCACGCATGCGCGATCATGCGAGCAGGGCGTGCTTCGTCACGCGAGCCAGCGTGGCTGACGGCGGCGGCGGCCCGACGGCGGCAGGCGACGACGTCGGCGATGGAGGGCAGAAGCGATCTCCAATTCCTGCTTCTCCTCCTCGTCGTCGTCGTACTCCTCCTCCTCCTCGTCCTCTTCCTCCTCCTCCTCCTCTTCCTCCTTGCTCTCTTTTGTTCATCATCATCCTTCTCGACTCCTGCAGTGCTGACCATGCCGCGCGCGCGTGCGCGAGCACAAAGGCGGGGAGAACGGTTCGGGCGATGTTTCGCAGCACTGCCCTCGCCTGGGCCTGGGCTGGGGTCGGAGCGAGAGTGCTGCCCAGCGGCGACGCTGCCCAAGCGGTCGGAAGATGGCTCGGATGCCAGGGCGAGGATTCCAGGATGAGTCCAGGGAGGGAAAGGGTTTGCAAGCATGAGGATAATGGCGATGTATCGGCTGTATCGGCAGAGAACGCCGAAGCACAACACACGGTAAAGGGATGTAGAAAGGAATCGTGGGGAGCGAGAATGCGAAAGCAAAGTGCGTTTGGGGCAGACAGGAGAAGGAGGAACGGCACGAGCGCTACGCCTTCTCTCAGCTCAGTCCGAGTCCTCCTCAAGCTCTGCATTCTCAAGGTCCTGCACTTGGCCAGCGTGCGCGATCCTCTGATTATCGTTCTGCCGCAGGCACAACCCACACAGTTCCTTAATGTTTTCGAGGTCCTTCCTGAGTTTGATCTCCCTCCTCTCTGCGAGCCTCGCCCGCAACTCCGTCACTTTCAATTTGGCTCTGAGCAAGGTCACCTTCCTGCGGAGGACTGGCCTCGGCGCGTTGATGTAATTCGGCCTAGACATCTTCCTTCTGCGCGGGGCGCGCTCGTGATCCTCGAAGCGATTGGCTTGAGCCTCAGTGGCTCTGATACGCTTGGGGATCATGAGTGGGGCACCCGACGGGAAGGGGGTTCTAAGTGCGCTGAGGGGCCTCATGGGCCTTGGGGTGTTCCTTGTCTCTGTCTCTGTCTCTCTCAAGGGCCCCGTTGAACTCGTCGCGTGAGCTCCGATGTAAACCCTACTGTGGCCCAAGGGCAAACAAGTGGAACCTCGGGGGGGGCCTAGACATCGATGTCGGGCTTGCGAACGCCCGCCCCTCCCCCGACTAACTGACGTGAGCTTGAACCTACGGGCGCCACCGTGAGACATGCCACAGTTACATTGCCTTGCGAGAGCCCCAAGAGCAAAACGGTACACGAATGATGCACGCATGTCTTCAGAACCCTTTGGGGGGCCTTTGCGCCAGACTGCCACGCTCCGCATCTGCTTACATCAGGGCTGCCGCCAACCCGGTAGACGGGCGGCTGGTCCGAGAGGCCGGCGCGCGCCGAGGACCCGAAGGATGCGATCCGCAGTTGGAGCTCCTGCGGCACCCCCAGGCGCGTGAGGCATTGCCAGTAGCTGAATAATGCAAGAGGAGGGGTCCCAGGAAATCGCGGGGCTCGGAATGCGAAGAGGCCGAGGGGAGATGGGGGGCAAGAGCACAGAGGGGTAGGATGGGGCGGGGCAAATGGGGCAGCCGCAGCAACGTAAGGGAGAGCAGCTTACCAAATTTTTAGCCTGGCGAAGAACCCAACCACGAGCAGCTGCGAGCATCGCATGGTGTGTGCCGCTCCCCCCCTCCTCCCCCTCCCGCTCTCGTCAATTGCTCTTCCCGCCCTTGCCTCTCGTCTGCGATCCCCTACCTCACCTCGCCATCCTCGCTCCGTCCACCTCCTCTCTCCTCGCTGCTCTTTGCCTTCGCTACCCTCCATCGGCGGTGGACAAGCGGACGTAGCGCGGCAGCGCCTACAGTATTGCAACGCAGAGTTAACATGTCACGAGACCGTTCAAGAAGAGCCATCAATCACAAAGTTCACGGGGGAAGGTGGCTCAACTAGCTGGCATTTTCCACATCATTTTCCGCAAGTGCACTGCATCGCTTGCACTAAACGCCAGACGATCCAGCAGCGCCGCCGACGTGAGGCCGCAAGGCCATGGACGCGTCGTCCAAAATAGTCATCGCCTCAGGCGGCAAATCAAGCATGCCTAAAAAAAAGTTCACGGCGTCATAATCGACGGCCCTGGTGGCCAACGGCAATCTCGCAACGCATCGATGGTGAACGCATCGATTATCCCGCAGGCTATTGGAAGCACGAATCTGGTAGCGAAAGCGCCATTCACCCTTCGCAACAACAGAGTGACACAAAAAACAACTCGCCCTAGCCGAGGGTGCCAGCTCGAAAGAAGAAATACCTGCTCTTTCGAGGCCTCCCAGCGCAGGTGGCTTAGGTTCGTCGGGGGGCTCGGGGGGCTCATCGTCCGAAGTGCAGCTTTCGGATTCGATGTGCTCGTCCTCGCTGCGCCCCCCTCGAACACTCTCAGAATCAGAGCCAGCTTCGCTCTCGTTTGCTGGCAAGGGGTGGGCAACAGGGGCCTTAGCCTTAGGGGGCTTCGCCGCTGCGCCTTCGACATGAGGGGCCGCGAAACAACCTAAGCCAAAAGGAAGCGCAGCTGGCTGGTCTACATCTTTTCGTTTCACGCCCTTGGAAACCAAACTCAACGGCAGGGGCTCGCCTCGCGCCCCAGCGCGAATGCAAAAGCCAGGTGAGACAGCTGCACCTGCATCGCCAAACTCTCGAATGTAAAGGTTCAAATGCTTCAGGTCGGCGAAGTGCGCCGCGCCCGAGCGCTCAACAGCTTCGGCCAGGATTCTGCGGCCGACAAGGTGAGACGTTGAAATTATGATGGGCATCGCCCCCCCGCACGCAGCAAGCTCGCAGCAACCGTCGGGACGTTGGCGAACCTTGACGAGGACTTGGAGCTCGCCTTTGCCAACCTTGTCTGCAAGCAAGTGCGTCTCCCCGACACCGCCTGGCCCGCAGATGTCAACTAGGAGGGGCAGCTTCATCTCAGAGACCCTGGCGTGCAAGTTCTGCACGAAGAAGTTGACGGCGCGGACGTCGTCGGAGGTCTCACATAGGCCGCCGTACTTCACACAGCATGGCGTCTGAGGAATGGCTGTCCCTGGTGGGCTTGGTACTGCCTCATCCCCATGCCAAAATATGCGGTCGGACTTCCTCCCCAACTCCGCCAACGACAACGCGGAATCGACCAACTCAGGACGCAATGGCAGCCAAGGGGCGTCCAGCCGAGCCCCAGACTTCCACGTGCCATCTTCGCGGAGCCTCCGAATAATTTCATCGAATGCAACTTTGCGCTGAACTCCTGTCGAATAGCGACCCCCATCTGTATTGAACAAGTTGGCGCTGCTCTGTTGCTGGACGGCGCCCAGCCGCTGGCGCTTGTCCTGGGTCCCTCTCTCAGCCACCGCCTCGTAGTGCGCGACGGTGGCAGGCGGCAAGGCGATGAATTCAGCTCGCAGACGGGCCTTCTCCGCGCGGCGTTGGTCTGAACATGGGAACGGCTTAACAGCTGGGTTCCAATGGGTACTCCGGTACACCGACCAAGCAGACTGTTTAGTCACAGTTTGTCGGCGCCTCTGGACGCGCCGTCTAGCTTCCCGCTTCCTATCGCGAACTCCTCGCCTCTGCTGCGAAAAGCAACTCGCTTGCCGAGCGAACTTGTGGCGGATCTTCTGATTCGGCATCCACTTCATCAAAGCTCTGTCAGTCCGCTTGCGGTTCAACTTGATGACAAGCTTATGGTATGTCCTCCGCGTAAGCTCCGCGGCACGGACCGCCATGCCACGACTCTTAGGCTTTCGTACTTCTTGGCCCAACAGATGTTTCATCTCGACCGAGACGCTCGATACTGGCGTCGATGCCACTTGGGTCCGAAGGGCATCTCGCGCACGGAGAACCACCGCATCATCGTCAGACGACAGCCGACCCAACCACACGCGAGAATAGTCTTCCAAACACTTGTCGCACCGACAGCTCATGTCTTTGAGCGGGGCAACAATGTTGGGGATGTCCGAGGGGCTAACGTGGTCCCCGCACACTGCCAGAAGCTTGAACTTCGGTTGGTCGAAATAGTGCACCAGGCGCCTCCACGTCATTGCCAAGGACCGCACTACCTCGCAAGCCGTCTTGAACTTTTCTGGCCTGTCCCACTCGACGCCGCTCCACATGCTGTTCGCGAAGTCCCTGAGGCCGTCGACCTGTGCGTGGACAGCTCGCTCGCCCCGAGCCCCCGAGAGCACCTCTAAGTTATACGAGCAAGCTGTCATCATCTTCTGGCGAAGCGAGTCCGCGTCAGGGTGGTCGATGAGGCCCTCTGCAGGAACGTCGGAAGCAGCATCGAGAAACTCACTAGTCACCTGCTCTGACCTAAACACATGGTTGAGGAAATGCTGGAGCGGAGCCTGCAACGCCAGAACCTTCGGGAGGGCACAGGCTGCAACATGTCCTGATGGAGGGGGTGGTGCAATTTCTGTCACCGTCGCATGCGCTGAATGCGCCTCCCTGGGACGAAGGGGGGGAACGGATGCAACGCCCGAACCGCATGCTAACCACCCATGTTGCGTCATGTGCCCTCCCCTGACCTTCCTATTGGAAATGCCCTTCGGGTCACGATCCATGTACTGGATGACCAAGCCAGCCTTGATCGTGTTCTTCGTGCCCGCTGCGACCTCATTGCCAGCCCCAGTGCCCGCGGCAGCCACCGCCGCGTCATCCAGCGCCTTCTGGCTGAATGCTCCTTTGAAGGCGCGGTGCATGAGGTTGTGCTGGGCCCTTCCTCTATAACACCATGCATTCGCCTTCTCCATGTGTTTCCATCTGTACTCCAAGGCCAAGGGGCAGTTCGGTCCAATCGAGGCTTTGGCAGCCGATATGAACCCAGACAATGCAATTGCGCGAGATCTGCCGCAAGAGCACGAAGGACGGCACCAATGAACGAGATCATCGGACTCCCAGTCGCCGTCGTCGAAAAGCAATATCGCATCCTTCGTCTCCTGGCTCACGTCGACCCCAGTCAAATCCAAAATGAATTTCGCATGGGCCTGCCATCTATGAAAAGCAGCGGGTAACTCATCATCGACAACTACGCGAAATCTGAATTTCCGTCGTATCTCATTCTCCAAGGCGGACTCGTACTTGTCACTTGACCTTGCCGACTGGCAGAGGTGGCCGACCCTGACAACAAATGAAGAAAGCCCATCGTAGAACTTGAGTAGTGGCTTCATCCCAAGCACGCACATATGACCACTACAGTTCATGGAGAACACTGTGACAACGCCATCTGCCAACTCTCGACGTCCGCTCCCTTCGAGCTCTTCCCGAAGCTTTTTGCATTCACGCTCGCATGCTGCGACGATGTTCGAATTGAGCATGAGGCAGTCTCTCACCATGGCCAGGGTCTTCCAAACTGGAGTGCGGAAACTGTTTGCAACAACGCCGTCGCTGTCGACGGAACTGCCTGGTCGCCCACTGTCGTTGCATATGCTCCAACGCCTCCACCGATCAAGAACCGTCGAGTAGTTTGCAGCGGGCATCACCTGGGCTGGAGAACAAACTCGCGCTGCTGACACCGCAGGCCCCCCGCCCCAAGTCCAACACTTAGCTATCGTTTCGCACAAGTTCAAAACTGGACAATGGCGCATGATTCCTTTTGGAGCTCCCCTCTTAAGCTTGGATCTGGCGGCATCGTGCGGTGCTGTATCAACGAGGGTGTCGATATCTTGCTTACTTGGCTTCGATACCCACATCGGTGCATCATCAAATGTGTTTGCGAATACCAAACAATCTGGCGTGCAAGGGCCTGACTCCAGCCACTCGTGTATGCCGCGCGCCTGCGCAGCAGCGTGGCTGACCAGAAGGCGTGCAACATCTCTCTTGTTGGTGGAGCGGCGACCGATGGTGACGGGAACCACGTCGCCAGTCGACGTCGGCACGAATTGCGTGCTCCTCTTGGACGCCTGGTACGAAAAAGATTCGCTCATGAGGCTGGTCACCAAGTGTTCGTTGTGCAATCGCAGGGAGCGGCCGACTTCGTCGATCGCCGCCTCCTTGGCGCGCTTGACCTTCGCGATCGTCATCTTCAGCCGAGTCTCGCGAGAGTGGCTGAACCCTCTGGCTCGGCCCTTCCCTCCGACGCCACCACGGCCAGCTGCGCCTGCGCCGCCGCCGCGGCCTCGCAGGGCCCCTCCGCGCCCACGACCTCTGCCTCTGCCTCTGCCACGGTCACCGCCGAGCGCCGCTGGGGCTGGCGGGGCCGCTGCTGGCCCTGCTGGCAGCGGCGCTACTGGCGCATCTGCGGCTGGGCCGCCAGCCGCCACGAGGCCAGCGAACATGCAGCATGCAGAGCCACCGAGACAAGAGCCCGAAAAAAAAGCTTGAGCCAAAACTGGCTACGGGCGACGCGCAGTTTCCAAGGCCTCGTCAATGCGCAAATTGGTCCAGGCGTTTGATTTCAGACCTTTGGCAACGTACTCGTGCGATGGGCGTGTCGCTGTTGCTGCGTTTATTGTAGCGGGCCCCTGACATGACTCGACCCTCGGGCGTTTCGCTGATATCTGGATTTGCATTTCACGTCGCCACGGCTGCTCCGCAAAACCGACGATCGGACCCCAAGGCGCGACACAAAGAACAACGCCGAATATTTCTAGCGCAACCTATGACGCAACTCCCACGCAGGGGCCGTCCCAGGGCCAACGATCGGGCGTCGATGTCTTAAATGCATTTGACGCCTATCTCTGCCATGACGCTTCGCAACACCACCGTCTACTAAACGGCCCTGCGCTCCCTTCATCCCTTCCTCGTCATTCCTCCTGTCGGTTTCGAGACTAGCACGGGGTCGCGGGCCAGCCTCGAACTTGTTGATGGCCGCGGGGAGGGCGGTGGGCGAGATAGCCGCCGTCCCTCCTCCTCTTCCCTCCTCCTCCTCCTCCTTATCTTCCTCCTCCTCTTATCCCTCCTCCTACTGACCCTCCTCTCTCTCGTTGCTCTTCTTTCTCCTTCCATCATCGTTCCTGCTATTCCTCTGTCTCCATCTGCCGACCGACCCCCCATGTCCTCCCACTAACTTTCGTTGGTTACCACCCCGCCCCTCCCCCTTCCAGTTCTTTTCCCGATGGTTGCCCCCTCGTCTTATCCCCCCCTATCTTATGTTATTGCGTCACTCAATATCCTTTTGGGCCCCGATTGGGGCCACGCGAACGGAGAGGAGGAAAGGAGAGGGGGTGCAGAGCAACATAGATGAGTTGAGTTGTGTTTCATGTGATGGTCTTCGGTGCATTGACGGACACTGTTGTATCTACAGGAAAGGTTCATCGCTTCATATTAATTGAATCAACGGGGCATGGGGGGAGTGGCATCGCCACGATGACGACCTGACGGCACGATGTAAGTAACCCGCTTGTCACCGCTGTGCAGCGCAGCTGCGATTTCGATTGGGGCCCTACCAGAGCCTCGGATAAGGAATGCCACCTGCGAAGTTCATTTGGGCAACCGTTTTTGCAACCCCGCATCCATCTTTTCCCTAATTTAATTAATATCAAGCGATGAACCTTTCAATGCCTGCCCAGCCCCCGAGCATCTCCTGACCATTGGAACCGATGCCCGGCTCCAAGTCCACCGCGACACTCGCCGGTGGCCCAGCTCACCTGGTCCAGATCTGGACAACACTTTGCTCAGCGCCTGAGAATGATGGCTCTCGACCGCGGCGTGATCGGTCGCCCCGCGGTCCAACGCCAACAAGAAGTCTCATGTATTGCCGTTGGTTGTTGTTTGATGGCTGCGTTCAGGTCGCGGCAGTAACGAGGTCTGGGTTTCGGAAAAATGGCGCCAGATGTAGAACGTCGGCATTCGCTCAAGTAAGTTTTTTGATTCAGTGACGCAGTGCACTTCTGGCAAATTTACACGGGGCGGCGCAATTTAATGCCTCCGTCTCTCGTTCCAATAAAACATCGACTGCCCCAATGATTGTTCACGGCGTGCGCGTTCACCCTCTGCCCCTGCCCGCGTCGTTCCAAGCCGACCTGGCCCGTGGGCCCCGCGCGCGACGAACGAGCGGGTCTGGGCATCTTCTTGCAAGCTATCCTGCAGCGCGGCGCGCGCCGCGAAAGGCGGCCTTCGCCGCCTCGGGCAGGCGCCCTGAGAACCGCGGGGATCTCGATAGGCCCTCGTTGCTCGGGTGCCCCAGACTCTGGTGGGATTGTCGCAGTGCTGCGAGTTCGCGACTCGAGCACCCGGCGCTTCCTAGCCCGGAGTGAACGGCCCGGGCGACGAGGCCATATGGCACCGATTCTATCCGGTACCGCATCTGGTTACGAAGCTTGGCCAGGTGGCCTAGCATTGCCTGCGAGTGGCGTGGCGGGCTGCCTGCCACCTTGAAGTCCTGGATCACCGCGCCAGCGTCTAGGTCGACGACGCGCCTTCGCCCCGCTGGATCCCAGGTCTGCCCATCTGGCAGCGGCGCAGGTAGCGTCGAACAAATGCCGACCGTCTCGTCCGACCCTCCGCCCAACAAGTTTACGCGGTCTCCGGTGGCGAATACTTCGTGCTCCGCGACGCGTGCGTCGCTGGCCTCCTGGAGCGCTGCAAGCGCCGCCTGGCAGAACTCCGCGAAGTCGAAGTGGCGTCCTCCCCGCCGCGCGTAATAGGACCCCATCCAGATGGGCGTGCGAGGTCTGCTTGTTGCGCGAGTTGTCTGGCCCCCTGCCAAGCGCGATCATCTTCTGAATCTGCCCCTGCCACTTTGGACGTCGCGCGTCGATGTCCTCCCGCGCCGCGCCCCATTGACTCCATGGCGCAGCGTAGCCCCTGGCCGTCGCGGCTGCCGGGCCGCCCCCGGGGCCCAGAGGCTCCGACGAGGGCGCCGCCTTTGTTGTTCAGCTGGGCCAAGATCATCTCCTCCGCGAATCCGGCAAGGGGTTCTCCATGAAGCGCTTCCGCCTGGGCCCCCGCTGACGGCGCCCCCCCCTGAAGCTCGGGCGCGTTGATATGGATCACGGCGCGCGCGGTAGCTCCAGCCTTGCCGAACGTTGCCGACGCGCTGCGCGAAAATGTCGGGCTTCGCGTCGGTCTGCGTCGTCGCGTAGGTCTCGATTGTAGCGCATACCTATGGGCTCGCGCGTCGGCCCAACTTGGGCACGCTCCTCCATCTGAGCGGCCCCCCCCGAGAAAGTCTGCGCGAGGTCGCAGCGGTCGTCGTTTTCGATATTGAACACGCCGCGAAGGCCCCGAGCGATCGCCTCGCCCGCGCTGAGCACGGGCCCGGAGAAGGGGGGGCCAAGGCGCGATGCGCCATGTCAAGGGCGCGATGGCCTTTCTAAACTTGCCCATGAGGCGCTTGGCCAGGCCCGGCATTGTCGCGCTCTACCTCGGTCGCTTCGGCGGCGGACTCCCCGGGGCCTGGCCCGCCTCGACTCCGACGTCTTCGGCTGCAAACTCCGTCGCTGACGCGCGCCTTTCCCGCCGCCCCCCGCGCGGCGCCCGTCGGCGGGGCGCCGCCCTGGCGATCGGGGCCCCGCGAGCGAGAGAGACCCCTCGGAGCGACCTCGCGAACTCGGTCAGAAGACGCCCTCGTCTTTCGGCTCTCGCTTCCTGGTCGCTGTCGGATTCGGACCCCGAAGTGCGCAAGTGATCTTGTTCTCCGGCATGCCCTCGGTGATATTCGCGCTGCGATTCCGGGCGAGCGACGCTCCAGGCCCGTCGGCTCGGCTCACGCGCGAGCCTGAACAATCTCGACGCGCTTCT